AGGAAATTTTCACAAAAATTCAGTATCATTCAAACCTAAATGGCCAAGGTGAGGATAATGTCAGAGATAACTTCTTTTCGATGCACAAATTAGGCTTCTTAATATGGATCTCAACAGCCTCAACAATATTTGGTAATAGTACTCTTAGGGCGAAATTGAGATTCGTTGGTATGCGGTAACTGAACCTTAAAGCCTGGTTAACATCAATCTTGTGTTCTGTATCCACAAGATGAGTGAGATAGAATAGCACTACGAATAGATTTTTCTTTGTCCTTTCCTTAACCACACAGGGTGATGTATATAAACATACATATAGTTGTAGAGCCAGAAGAGGAAATTATTGAAAAGAATATTCTTTGCTCAATTATTTTGTGTTTTATAGATGCCTGAATGAATGGTTTCGCTATAATCGGTATTATTTAAAAAGCCCACCAATATTGTTAATGATGATTATTCTACAATATTCTATGTATGTAAATATATATGTGAATATAACTATAGAGCCGGGAGAGGAATTTATCTAAACGAAAATTTTCTCTCGTTCTTTTGTCTTCTTAGTATCTGAATGGGAATTATTGCTGCATTAAATACAGCATAATAAATAATATTTGCTAAGTCAATTAGTTCGTTATTGTCTGATTAACTGACTTTCAACGTGGCACTTTGTGCAAAAGTGCAGCCATATTACACCAACAGCCTCCATAGCCATTGTTTCTTAGCCTCTCGGGTTCCTGAACCAGTCAGTTTACACCTCTCTATATGGCTCGAATCAACTGTCAATAGATTTCATGAATTAATCCCAGGTGTTGGTGTGTGATCGACCTCCTTTAAATCTTTTCCAGCTTAAATCCATGTCGGTGGACACTGTGTTGAGGAAAGTGACATTGGGCATGCGCAACACATGTTATAACCATCTCAGTTGATATAGCCTCACAAACTTATCGAATGAGCTGTTCTCCTCGTCAAAATATCTCTATGCCTAATCCCTCAGTAGTACTCACCACATCTTATAGACGTAATTATGTTCTATAAGAGATGTGAGAGTCGAATTCAATCAGGATTATTACCATGTTAAGTGGTGATCTATAAAGCAGCCACCCAGTGAATATAATTAGTAGGTTCCTATGCTGACTATTGAAAAGGTTCATATCCTGCTTTAAATATAAATAAATGTAATCATTTGATTCCATTACATTATGTGGTGAACGAACTTGTGGAGGGCAGGTGCGGCTTGATTCGAGGTGACTGTTCAAGGATGGCTGTCGTGAGTGTCGATGTGTGTGTGTGTATTGTTGGCTAAAAAGTTTTATTCTTATATCAATGATACTTATAGCTAAAACCATCTTTGTGTCTAACATTATTGTAGTCTTAGCATCGGTGTTGCTTATTATATGCACAAGATTTGACGAAATGCCACGATTCATAAAGCCAGCAGAATGATAGAGGTGTCATCTTTTGATGTCAGCTGCTATTGTATGAGTGACTAGGACGATGGACGTTTGAGGTGGTGGGGTAGGACAACGGGGTGTGGGGCCAGAGGTTGGTGCTGGAGTTTAAAGAGGTCTGGTCTACTGCATTGGTTTCCTTTCGGGAATTAGCTGGTTCATCCAAAACTTTGTCCACATTGAAGAAAAGCCAACAACTCCGTTGCCAAATATTATGAACAAGTAACCTGATTACGCATTAACACACTGAGATTGAAATACAATAGGATAAGGACGCTAATGTTGGACGTAATGGACGCCTTAATCATGAATGCTGCTTGGCTACACCAACAACATTATACAACAACTACAATGAGATGCTCACTAGCAACTTGCCCTATTCAAGTAGGTAGTTACCTGGGGTTCTAGTGAGAAGTCGTGACCAGTAGGGTGCAGCAGGTCGCGTGTGAGGACAAATACTCGCCGAAGACATTAGCTGGAGATCGCGCTATGTCGTGAATTGGCAGAAGTTAGGATTCATGGACTGACAATTGGATCGGGTCCCAGTGGCTTAATGGTATACGAGCTCGCCTTGTAACCAGAAGATCCTGGGTTCGAACCGTGGCGGTGGGTGCGTACTGATGAAGAGTCCCAAACTAGGCTGACGAAACAGCTGTCCAGTACTCCCAGGTTTTCCAATGGTTCTCTAACCAATGTCAGTTCATGATGAAATCCTGTAACTTATTCATGCTTATTTTTTCCTTTCTTTTAGTTCATGGGCTTCAAACTCAACTGGAAGTAATACCGGCGGTGGAGTGAATAAAGTACAAGCATCAACAAATGATAATGCAGGCCAAGTTTCTGCAGTTAGTTCAACTCGACAATCAGAATGTACACTGGAAGATTGTGCTGATCTTCGAATATTATTATCTATTCTATATATTATGGTAGAAACTGTCCGTGATGGTATGCTGACAGAGCATACACAACAACAGACTAGTTCGTTAGATAGGCGAAATATACCCACATCATCAACTGACACCACCAATCAAGATCCAATGGCGAAGTTAAGAGAACAATTCGTTGAAGATTTAGGTAATGTACACTTGTGTATTTGTATTTTTATCAATAATAATCCCCATCCAGACATTAATGAAAACAAAAAACAAGTATAGTTCAGAGAAGAGTATCTTTCTGCAGCGAATTCATTACTCTCTTCAGCTGTACAATCCTACTCATCGACAACTTTTTCATGAAAGAGGATAGTAACAAAAGTGTTGAGTTGTCACTATCATGGTTGTTTATGTTAGTCAATGTATAAAATGGAGTGGGAATAAGCGTACCAGGGTTACGTAATGAGATGGATAATTTAATGAATGAATGAGTAGTGATCAGGATGCATATAGAAACAAAGGAAAATATGGTATCGCGTAGGAGTTCTAAGAAAATACAAGAGTTATGAGTAGTTAGTAGAAATCAACAAGGTTGTTACCATGGTAATAGAAGTTGGTTCAGTAATTCCATTTTGTGTGCATAGCTCCGGTTCATCTATCTATATGACTAGAGCCTCAACATTACACAGGAGACGAAAGTGTATTGCCTTTGACTGGTCACTCTTCACTTTGTAGAAGAATACTTTGAAGGAGTCTTGCAGTCGAATGGATGTAACAGTATTCCCTCTCATTGCACTACCACCTCTTTTATTACTGTCATCGTGCCAACAGAGGTTGAACATTCCAGTCCAAAATAATGAGTCAACCGTAAATGCAAATTAAACTAAAGAACAACTGACACCCAATGGAAAATGGTGGAATGATGAGTGTTGACGAGGTGTTCAGTTATCACACTCATTATAAAACCACTTTTACCTTTCTGCAATAATGTGAGATAGTATGCTTGAAGCTTTTTTAGACAGGATACACGTCGAACGGCCAATATACCTATCTCCACAGTATTAGGCGAACTGGCGTATGCACATAGAAGTGATAAGATGCGAGATATTGTCTTTCAGGCTTCTGCAGACCAATGGATAACTAGAGAACTCTATGTTTAGCGCTGATGTGAAGAATATTCCTCTAAAAGATGATAAAATTGCTGTCGTAAGTTAAATCCCCCTCAAGATCTAGGTTCATGTAGAGTTTCTTACTTTTGGAACAAACAGGTAATGTTTCGTTTCTCTGAACTTTTGGTTTGATATGCTTATCAGAAAATCTAGCTCTGCTTCTAGTGTGTCAGGACTACCGATGCATTGGATCCGAATGGCAAGGGATTTAACTAAATTGGAATTTCGTTCAAGCATATTTATCTACTGTTTATGTAATCTGTAAAATCTTTGTTAAGGTAGTTAAAAAATTTAGATAGGTGTGTCATTCTCCTATTCTGAAGTCATGTTTTATATTTAGTATTATATTGATACTGGAATAAGTAAAGGGATTGATCAGTGAACGCACGCGAAGTTTTGGTATCCAGAAAGATGATATATATAGACGCAAATATGGTTGTTGACTTTTCTGGTAATTTTTGTGACTTACTAAACACCCAGTCTTCTGAAATAGCACTGAAAGGCATATCTAAGTAGAAACTGAAAGCCGCCTTGTCAAAAAACTTACCTAACTTCTCATATCTTAAAAATGATGAATATGTGTGTAAGAGATATTCATGTGACAAGTACGCGTGTGTTTGCTCAGAATATCTTAAATAAGTGTTACTTAAATACATATGCCTTATACATTTAGGATAAATTACTTCTTGCTTATTATGTTTTGTTAAAGTTATTTTATTCACTCAGTTAATTAACCTATTTATCAACTGTTCCCACAGACTGAAATACAGTCTAACTCTCTTTATGTTTTGACCAGTGATAATACTAATCAAGGCCCTCTACTCGAACTTACACAGTCGTGTAAGAGCTTACAGAGAGTTGTCATTTATAGTGATGACAACCTGCGGTGTCCGTCCGGGATGCCCACCACTATCCCCATGTACTAATAAACTTAACCCTAACCGACTTTAGTGGCTTAGAGATTGACTTGCTACCAGTGAATAATCTCGTTGACTTGGAATATGCAGATGGTATAGTCTTACCTCCTAGGTGAAGACGTTGACAAAATGCAGTCTTCTGAACAGCTTGGGCAGCGATTTTAGGATGTTTGGCATGCCATTCCAGCGCTCCTGTCAAATATAAGATGATGCTACAAGACTGACTGGACTACATCGATTCCTAGCATAAAAATAGGCAGTGAAGTGGCTGGTGGAGTGTGTTGACCACTTAATTTATTTTAGAAGCTGCATCAGCCAACTCCAGAGGGTTTATCGCTGACAAAATCTCAGCACAGATACAATAGACTCGTTTGGTGTGAGCCAACTTACCCCACCTCTGGAGTAGATGTAATATCCGAATATTGATCAAACCATGTGTGTACTGCTCAGCAGTCCACTCCGTCCTCCTATACGGCTGTGAATGAGATATAAATGATCATTGAAAGTAGAAGATATGTAAAGCCCGACTAGCTGTCTTTGATCATAGGTGTCTGCATTTTATATCCTGTGTTAAGTGATATAATGTGAGTAATTTTGAGGTTAGGTTTCGATCGAGTGCTAGCTAAGGAGGGGACATCAATCGACGAGTTTGCGAAGTTACATCTGTTGAGATGGTTGGGATATATGTTGCTGCGCATGTCTAGCCATCGATCGATCTCCTTCCTCGATCGGCAGTGTTAGCTGACAGGATTAAACAGGTTAGGAAAGAGCTGGTAGTGATCGAACTAAAACTTGGTCTGAATGTGTTCCGATCTTCTTGGTGCTGGCGTCTTTATTTGCTTGTCTTGCTGTATCCATTTCCGGAGCTCCCTAACGTTCAGGCACCTCTCGTCGGTTGCACTTCTGATGGTCTATACGTGACCGCGTTTCACGGTGACCATGTATGGTCCTTCCCACTTTGGAAGTAGTTTGCGTGACCCCGGCACATATTCGTCCGTGTTTCGCTTCACACTATGCTGCCTTCATGATGTGTAGTCACATGGTGTTCTACCTTGTTTTGACAGTCTGTTATATTTTGCTATGTTTATATGGATCGATATTTCATTATAACTAACAATATGCTTTTGTCTGTCCACTAAATAAATAAACATGTATGACCTTGTTACACATGACATTACAACCAATCACGGTAAGATGACTGTTCTATTGGTTCATGTGTATTAGCCATTTTCATATATGCTCTTGTTTTGTATACTTGTTTACAGAGTTCGTACACTACGTACCATTTCACTCACACACTTGTGTGACAGACATTTACTTTCCTTGTTTGGAAACTACAAGTATCATCGTGAACGAGGTGGTCTTCTGATTTCCCTCTTTCCGCGTCAGGACTATTAACTACTCGACGAGTACATAACATAATTGGCGACGGGGAAAACTCTATTAACCACTCAGCAGTACATAACACTTCACCCGACTTCTCAGCAGCGTTCCAAGTGACAGCCTTTTCGCTGACGGCTCTTGAACGAGATTTAACTCCACAAGAGCCTCGAAGTCCTGCAAGCAGATTCATGTGTTTCTTTCTTCCAAAACTGCAGGGCATAGGCTTTTCATTTGTCGGCAGGCAGCGACACCGAATGTAACAGCAGAAGTCAAGACAAAGAAGCCAAGGTATCTTTTCAATTGATAAACCGCTATTTATACCTATACGGTTTATTTATATTCTTTCACCAATCACTGAGCGTGTGATTTTGGCTTACATTAAACAACACGAAATAGAATGTTTAAATATGCATATAGTATTCTGTTGCTAACGCAGTATTAAACTGTGGGAGCAGTATTCAGACGTTAACACCAACAAATATACAATGATTCTTACTGTGAGAATAATAATTCGTAGGAATGCATTGTCTGTATCACATCACCACAATTTAACTACACTACACTTATCCTATTAGACCTTTCAATGCGTATTGATGATTTGTCCAGTTTTATCAATTAATAATTGTTATTGTTATTGTCTGTTATTTATTATTATTATTATTATTATTATTATTGTTTTTGATAGCTTCACCTATTGGAAAAGATGGTGAACTCACACTGACTGTTGTTCTCTTCGATATGGTTTATCGTTTTTGCAGTGGTCTTGCTCCACATTTTCCAATGAAAAAAGTTTTACTATTATTGTGGAAAGTTCTACTTGTAAGTTGTTCAGTGAATAATTATTACTTTTCAATGTGTATGCATCAATGAATACCTTAAAATCGTTGTGATGATTCATTTACAAAAGCTGTACAATCGTATTTATATTTAACAAAGAATTCACAAAACCAGTCAGGTGATCTAAACACCGGACGGCTGTTTCGCTTGTTTTGGGGCCTTCAACAGACAACGTTGACCGAGAATTAATTTGGAAACTCCTTCAACACTACGGTGATCCGCAAGTTTTTATCGACCTCATTCAATATGTGGCTATGTAAGAATGCCATGTGTCAGGTGATCCACAATGGGAAACTCATCGAGGCGTGTTGGAAGTGAATAGAGAAGCAAGACAAGCTTGCTGCCTATTATAACCGATGATATTCTTAATTGTGTTGGACTGGATTATGCGTCAGACTGTGCGTTGGGAGTGAGGAGATAGGAATTCATTTTTCATTTCATTTTTGATTACAGCTTGATTTCACACCGTATTTTTGGTACAAGTGTGGAATTTTCAGCGTGGATATCGGTAGCCCAAAATTTCGCAGGCCGACCATAGATATCAGGTATGCGTCGGCGTGGGCTCGAACCCCGGACCATGTACATGGTCGGCGAGAGTCCTAACCACTGTGCCACCGACCGATAAGAAGACTCTAGAAGTACTGGATTTCGCAGATGATATATGTCTAAGGTTACACAAACTCGAAGACATGCAAGCAAAAACCAACAAACTGGCTGAAGACACTGGCAGCGAAAACAGGACTGACTGCAGATGAACACAGAAAAGACGGAGGTGATTGAAGACAACCAACCAACTAACAGCAACAACAACAACAAACAGCATAAATCACCAACGGGAGAGATTTGACAGAGGTTATTTTCTTCACAAAGAATATTTCCAAAAGGCTGCAGACCTTTATTAACAACTGTCTTCGCTCAATACTGAAGATCAGATGGCCGGAAAGAATCACCAACAAGGAATTATGGGAACAAACAAAGCAAGAACCAATCGCCCAACAAATATGCAGGAGAAAGTGGAGATGGATCGGACACTCGCTGAGGAGACCGCTGGTGACATCGCGCGCCAAGCCCTCGAGTGGAACCCGAAAGGGAAGCGGCCGGTGGGACGTCAGTGCAAGGGTGACATGGAGGAGATCGTGTGAAGAGGAGTTGAAAGAATATGGATTAACATGGATGCAGGCGAAAAGTATAGCAGAAGACAGAAGAAAATGGAGAAGTGCAGTTGAAGCCCTATGTTCCACTAGGAACCCAAGGGAGCAATAATAATAATAATTTTCTTCACTTATCTAGGAAGCATTGTTTCGAGTACTGGTGGAAGGGATGAAGATGTCAAAGTCAGAATCGGAAAGGCAAGGTATATACCTTCATCAACGTGAAACCAATTTGGAAATCTTTTGCACTCAGTGTCAGCATAAAGTACGAGATTTGGATTCTGTTCAACACAAATGTGAAATCAGTCAGTTCTTCTATATGTGTCAGAAACTTGGCACCAGCATCATAGAAAGCATTTCCTTCAAGGTTGCAGACTTTCATTAACAGTTGCCTTTACTGGCTTCATACTGAAGATCAAATGGCCAGAAAGAATCAACAACAAGAAACTATGGCTGGCTACAAACCAACCAAGAGCCGATTGCTCAACAAATATGTAGGAGAAAATGGAGGTGGATCGGGCATACATTGAGGAGGCCGTCGAACGACATCGCGTGTAATGCAGGTTATCGCTGTATTGGTAGTGGAATGGGAAGCGACGAGTGAGTCGTCGGTGCGAAGGTAACATAGAGGAAATCGTGTGTGTTGGAGGAGGAGATGAGAGATTCTGGGCAATCATGAACTCAGATGAAGAGGACAACACCAAAGAGAACAAAGTGTAGATGTGTTATTGAAGACTTATGTTACACAGGGACCACAAGGGAATAATATAATAATAATAATAATCAATGGTGTATCGGGTCTGACTCGGCTCAGACACTCGAATCAGTTCAAATCACTCGATTTCTGGCTAACTACTTAATCGAACTGGTCATTAATTTCACAATTTAAAAATTACTAATCACTTTCCAACCCAAACACAGTGTTCCAGTGGTGAAGAGTTTCACGTGAACAGCTAAGAAAATTTTCTTTCAGACTAGTCATTTTTAAAAGCTTCTATTTAACAAAGAATTCATAAGACGAATCAGACAGATAGTTACTGATAAAATTTGTTCTCGAAAGTGTGTATTACATAATGTAAAGTGTCATCTAGATAAATACATATTGGCTTTGAATACTCCATCTATTATGCGTCATATAGCTGAATCACTAGCCATTCAGGATCTGAATCCGAGTCTCTGAATTGAATTTAAAAGCACTACATACAGTGACTTGCCTTGCCATGACCGCAAGAGTAACATTCTTACCATCATTTTGCTTCATTTTATTGTGTAATTGTACTATTATTATTATTACTATCCTCATCATATTCACCTTACTACTCCGTTCTCTCCCTTTTTTTACAAAAAAATTAAATATTTAGATAACATTAGGTCCATTAAGCAGTTTATTCGTGCGTAAAAATCAAGCACGTGCTCGTTACGGGTTACCACCATTGTCTGAGGATTCTACACATGTGATACGCAGAGTTCGGGCTAATACTCCACCGGCTGTATCAACAGATCAAGTGCTGTCAAGAATACCACGGAATAACAATCGACATCCAGTATTGAATCAATGTATGTGGTGTATTTTGTATTCATCATACCTCGCTAGCATTTATTATTATCATCATTATTATCCCTCCTTGGGATCTGTCTGAGTGGAACCTTGGGTTTCGACAGTACGTCTCCATTTTTCACCTATTCTCTGCAGTCATCTGTAGCTTGCTTGACCATTTCCCATAAGCTTTCATCTGCTCCTCCTCAGGTGGCGGTTTCATCTATGTTTCACCCCCGTACACATGCCCAACTTGTCGTTTCTTATTCCGGGTTCTACTCGAGCGATGACCTGGCATGCGATGTCACCCAGTGGTCTCCTCAGTGTGTTTTCGTTCCGTCGCCATTTTGCTTCAGGTATTTGTTGGAGAATCGATTCTTGATTGGTTCATTTTCAGAATTCATTGTTTCTTATCTTTTCTGGCTTGGCATCTGATTTTCAGCATGAAGCTGTTGATAAAAGTTTGCAGTAGTCAGTTGGAAATGCTGTTTTTTGTGATGCATAACCAAGTTTCCGATCCTTACAGAAATGAGTAACATTGAAATGAGTACATTTATTTTGTTTCGGTTGTGTTCTCTGAGGAGCTGGTTGATTTAAATTGAGAAGCTTTCGTTGTCCGCCTTCTAGACCAACATCTTCAGCTCAGGTTTTATCATGAAATGAATGATGATATAATAGTATCTTCTCCTGACAACTACCGTCGTGATTTGCTGTTAATTTAAGTCTCTATTGATAATTTTTTATTGACTTTGAATTAGAACTTTCTTGTCATGTGATGAATTACTTTTTATTAGCTGGTAAATTTGGTCTATATTGATGTGTTGGTTAATCGCTGGTTGATTCACTTATGTACACCAGGCTTCTAAAAATTCCCTGACTACATTTTTGGTGTTTCCTCTATTAAACATTTCCACATTATCCCAATTGAAATCCGTCTTCGTAATTATCTACATGCATCGATGTAAAAGAAATATGTATCATGTTTTTTTACAACCAATTTATGTTCTTGGATCTGGACTCGAAGGCGACGCCCACTGCGATAAATATAGTGTTTGTCTCACTTGATACAAATTATTTTGTAAATGGTGCTGGTCTTATCTTCTTTTTCTGTTGGGTCTTCTGGTTTGCGCAATTATCGAATGAAGTCATTGTGCTGGCTGGTTTGTGTGTTATATCTATTTCAAACAATACTAGTATTCTAGCTGTTATTTCAGAGATAGTCCTTATGTATATGGTAGAGTGAATTTTCATGTGGTTTTTAATGATGAATACGAGTGGCATGTAATGCTGTTGCTCGATTACACTCTGGTTTTAGCATAATTTAAACTGAAATTTTTAATGGCACTTATAGTCAATATTATTCTGCGCTATGGCATGCCAAGGTATTGCCTTCCTCGTCGAATGCCTGAAACATAATTAGGTTGAAAAAGAGTTAAGAGTTGTCACACTGGATCGATAGCCGCTACATCGACGTGATGGTGAAACGCGCATATCCGAATAACCCAACGAGCTACGTTGGCTGGAACTGATGTTCCTACAGGTGTCCTACTATGCTGAAAAGGTCGCCTGGATATTGGGTAGATTAAAAGCGGTTACTATCATGGTGTTAGTCATTTTAAACTATGTTGGGAGGTGGGGGAGGGGCTTTTTGGCGAATTCGTGCTGTTGGCAAATACGCATTTAACAGCTGTAAGGTTTTTCCCTCAGATGCCCCTCCATTCTGGGAAGGGAGGGGCATTAGAAAAGGTCGACCCCGAAATTTGTACATCCCGACTTTCTGTGTGGCAGTCCTTTAGTCAGCAGTAAGATCTTATTAATACGGAGAAAACTCCAAAAGACCACTTCAATCAGGTCGTGTGTGACTGGCCTCCAACAGTTCTCCTCTGGGATCTACGGTCGCGCAACATTGATGCTGCTTCCATTTCATGTCAGTTGCTCATATCGTGGGTAATTATGTTGTACACTTGATAAATAGCGCTTCTAAATTGTCCAGAGAGGAGTAATTAGGTTTAATGGAATTCAATTTTTGTACAGAATGTTCGTTAGTTAGAAATCGAAAATGGTGGTTAGTCACAACTTCGTAATATATCACTAAGCATAGGACTCGCAGGTATTTTTCTTATCTATAATCATATTGATTAACGTAATATCTGTTTATTTTCACTTTAGCAAATCAAGCTCCTAGACAAGGTTGTCTAGCTGGTGGTCGTGCAGCATTCGAGCAACAACAGCAACAGCAGAAACCATCTGTGCTAACCACAGTGACATTTCCTTATTCAGCTGATTCGTCTAAACCACCAGTTGTCAATAGTAATCAAGCCACCACCACCACCACCACAGGAAATGTTTCAATAACAGACAGAATTACTTCTGGTTTTGATACGCCTAGACCAAGTTCTCCTGTATCATGTGAATCCAACGATAATAGTGGAGAGAATACAGTGTTGTTGAAATATCAACTGCCTAACACTACGACGACGCCGACGATTAATAATAATATTGACACAACAACACCCGACTATCTTTCTTCATCCAACTTGAATCAATCAAATCCAAATCCTCAAATTGTTCTACCTGGTCTGGCAAATTTATACACGGATGGAAAAAGTTTACCATGGAAGCCAAAAGTGAAAAAGAAAGATTTAGAGGTAATTCATATATTGCTAGAAAAGTATCTGTGGTTCAGGGGTGCTAGAATGTCCGCAGGCTAGGCACTTGTCGGTGGGGGGGGGGAGTATTTCGACTCCCTGCCGATCCGCTCCTAAACCTCGCCTTGACTTAGCGGTAGTAAGGCTAAAAAAAGAAGGAAGATTAGGCCCGGGCATAAAAAAGCCACCGCGCATAAGTAACAAAAGTGCTATTTATAAATAATTTAAATCACGGAATATACACATTAGATCATAGGAATTATTAAAAAGACGGTTGCAGCGAAGTAAATTTTCTTTTCGACTAAGTCATCAACTGGGCTGTACATTCATGTATTTGTAACAAGTGTGTGAGAAAGTTCTAGAATTATTTCCGGTCAGAGGTCAGATTACTAAAATTACTAAGTGTAATAAACAGAAAATAGGTAGTGGCGCGTTTTTCAAGTTGGCACATGGTACGGTCGATTTACTCAGCTCCACAAGAGCAAGTAAACTGGTATATGCACGTTGAGGTGGACCAATGCGACAGCTTGTCATTCGCGTTCTGGCTGAACAGTTTCTTGCAGAAGAACGTCAGTCGTAGGCTCGCGGTGAAGTGTGTTTTCCTCAGCGATTTGGAGAGGCGTTTACGAAGGATTTCTGCTTCAATATCACCTTTGAATTCTAGATTAAGCAGAAGTATTTTCTTTGGAACGGATTGGACTTGTTCGGAAGTCTTCTTAGATTTGAGATTCTTGTCTATGAACCTGGACGGGAAACCGTTTTCCATCAGGGTTTTTCGGAGATCACGCAGTTCTTCTTCAATCACTTCTTCGCTGCATATCTTCCGAATCCTCGAGGAAAGAGCGTATATCATAGAGTAGGACTGAGGTTTTGGATCGCCAGTGCTTCAGCTATTCCTAGATGTTTTGATCTCACTCCCTTTGTTAGTTTGGATCGGATCTTGTATGTGGCTTTGAAGGACTTTTCAAATGGGGCTAAATGTCGAGAATTCATCAGATATTCTGTTATCGAACTATATACCCCTTTGCTTTCTCCCCTTGCTGACGAGTTTTCTTGTAATTATAATCCTATTTTGTCTTTCCTACCCGATCTTCCTGTCTATTACACATTGGAATTTTAATTTGACGTTTTACCTGAAATAAATATTTCTAGAATAGTACCACTACCTATCTATCTTCTGTTTATTACACTTAGTAATTTTATTGATCTAACCTCTGACCGTAAATAATTCTGGCACTATCTCACACATTTATTATAAATACACGCATGTACAGAGGGGAGACGAAAGTGTATTTCCTTCGACAGGTTACTCTTCTCTTTGTAGATTACTTTTAAGGAGTCGTTTGTTGAGATGTGTAAGTGTAATGGTAAAAGACGTGGGACTTGATAAAGGAATGTTTTCTTTGCAATTTGGTATCGCTCTATAGCCAAATTATGTATGCTTTATCTTCAATGCACCATCTACACAGATCTTACATGTTGTGTTACTTTTGTGGCCTTCATATTGTGTTTCTTTGTCTTCCTCTCATATCCCCCAATGTATACCCGCAACTCTGTATTATTTTCTTTCCATGACATCAAATTTATTTCCGTACTATTTGGTGTTTTCGTATGCCAATCAACATCAATATATATATACATATATATTACTGATAAATCTTATAAGTAGCACACGCCACAGAATGACCAGTGTTGACGAGGTTTTCGATTACCGCACCCCTTATAGAGAGCCACTACTACCTTTCTTCAACCATGTTGAGTTAGTGTTGTTGAACCGTTTCTAGACAGGATACGCGTAGAACAAGCAAAGCACCTATCTCCACAGGAATAGGTGAACATAGAAGTTGTCAAATACGAGATCTTGTATATGTCTATATCCACATAAAAAGTGGATTGATATGGAGGTTAATCATGAACTCGTAGAAAAAAAAATTATTTCGTATCAAGGGTCTCGAATTTCACTTGTCATTGAATTTGACAAGATCCTAACCGAAGAGTGTGTTATTGTACATGACTGTTCACTGAATATTACTGACTTTTCACATAGACTTTTCCAATTCAGTACTAATCACCAAAGGAAGAAATGCATGGAGAGTACAGGATCACATGAAGTGGCATGACTGTCTTATTTTGTATCAGCTAGAGAACCATTGAAAACCGTCAGGGAGTAGTGGACAGCTGTTTTGTGCTGGTTTGGGCCTCTTCAGCAGTACGCGCACATCGGAGTTCGAACCCAGGATCTTCCGGTTAAGAGGCGAGCTCGTAGACCATTCAGCCTCTGGGACGTAACTCATTGGCTAACCCATGAATTCTAACTTCCATCAATTCGTCTTATTTTATTTAGTGGCGAATATTACTGGAATCCACGGCGAGCATTTCGTCCTGTGGGTGGCTCTTCAGCTAAACGCACGTGTATTCTTAGTGTGTGATGATGCCATTCCCACTGAGACTGGAACTCAGAATCCATCTTTTCAAAGATCGAATCGATGTCCTTCAGATCAGTAGGTTCATGAGAGCCACATTTTTGCATCGAATGTCTGTTGTTCTTTAGTTTAATTTGCACTTACGGTTGATTCATTTTGTTGGACTGGAATGTTCTATGTCTGTTGGTACAATGACAGTAATAAAAGAGATGGTAGTGCAGTGGGAGGGAATGCTGTTACTAACCGAGGTGCAGTGACATCCATTTGACGAATCCCAAATAAAGTGATTCGTCTTTTCTCTTGTTAACTAAAGGAAGCAGTAACTGTGATTTGATTAGGTTATTGATTTTTCAATTACTAGTGGATTGTAGATCCTATCACAAGATAAGTAATGTTGATGTTAGGCGTAGAGTGTTGGGCGAAGAGGGAAAATCAATCGACGAGGCTATAAAGTTACATAGACTAAGATGGCTGGGTCACGTGCTGCGCATGCCTAACCACCGCCTCCCCCGACGGGCTTTGCTAGCTGATATAGGTTCAGGTTGGAAAAGAGCCAGTGGTGGCCAAACAAAAACATGGCATCAATCCATGAAATCCTTGACAGTTAAACTGAGTCAGGTAGAGAGATGCAGACTCCCGGGTTGGGGCCCTCGGGATTCTAAGAATCAATGGCTGGAGACAATAGGTGACATGGCTCAAAATCGTTGTCAATGGCGCAGATGTATTCAGTCTCTGTAATCTTTCATATTCCTTTCTACCATTACCCATTCTCTTTCACTCTTATACTTGTCAAGCTCTATTGATTCTCTTCACTCATCTTTTTGTCTACCTCTGTGGGCTATTTGGAACGTGGCAACTCGAACTGCTGCACTTCGGTGCCAAGTTCTATGTTGAATCCAGACAGACAGACAGATCCTAACTTTACTCCACATATTGAGGATTAGCGCAGCCAGGTTATAAGTGCTAGTCATCACATATATTAGACATGGAGTATTTTTGAATACGTGGAAAATGCATATGCAGTCCTAGAGTTATTATTTCTCATCCTGGTACTGATTAAACTCTACAATTCTTTGTATGTTGCTATCATGAACCATATTCATGTTGACAGGTGTTCGGTTAACTTAGATTGTAAGAAAGTGAACTGCTTTAATCATCATTTATATTTCTCTTAATGATTGGTTTTCAGAACCATTTCCCACTCCGTAATCTTCAGTTTGTTGTAAATATCATTATTCCTATTGATTGTATAAGAGAGTACTTCAGCAAGAACTCAGTTGCACGGGGTATAAATGTTTCCTTATTCGCGTCAAGTTATAAGCCATTATTATATGAGGTCGAATGGTACCACACCACCCAGTTGTCTAGGCAGTGAAGTAGATGGTGGCGGAGAATTCGAACCTGGGACCAATTAGTCCCCAACCAGTAAGAATAACTAGGGCTGATGTGTTAATTAAAGAAGGTAATTCAATGAATATAGTAATGGATCTTCACCACTGAACCTTCCTGAAGAATCTGCGTTATCTGGAGCACGATTTAGAATGAAACAATGAAGCGTATTCTCTGACTGTTAGTTACAGTAGCTTAATTTGTCTGGCTAGAGTCTTCCTCAAGATGCTAAGAACCAATAATGACTAGAAAATCTGAACAACATGTTTCAAGGTATGGCTACCTGATGTAATTTATTTTTAGTCTGTTTAAGACATGCATAATCCCCATCCAGACATTAATGAAAAAAAATGAAACAAATAGTTCAGTGAAGAGGCTCTTTTTTTTGGCGAATTCACTTTCTACTTTAGCTGTACAATTGCATTTATTATATATAATTTTTTTCCAATGAAAGAGGACAGTAACAGTAATGATGGTGGGTAGTCACAAACATGGTTGTCAATGTTAGTTAGTGTTCGCCTGTTGTTGCTGCTGAGACAGGTGTATTGGTCGTTCGACGAGTATCCTGTCTAACAAAGCTTCAAGGATACTATCTCACATGGTTGCAGAAAGGTAGCAATGGCTCTATACGGAGTGCAATAATTCGAACACCTCGTCAACACTCGTCATTCCATCTCAAAAAACACTTCCCTCAAAGTAATCTACAAAGTGAAGAAGAATCTGACAAACGCAGCAAGCTTTCGTCTCCTCTGAAATGTTGAGGCTCTAGCCATATAGATAGATGAACCGGAGCTATGCACACAAAATGGAATTACTGAACCAACTTCTATTACCATGGTAACAACCTTGTTGATTTCTACTAACTACTCATAACTCTTGTATTTCCTTAGAACTCCTACGCGATACCATATTTTCCTTTGTTTCTATATGCATCCTGATCACTACTCATTCATTCATTAAATTATCCATCTCATTACGTAACCCTGGTAAGCTAATTCCCACTCCATTTTATACATTGACTAACATAAACAACCATGATAATGACAACTCATCACTTTTGTTACTACCCTCTTTCATGAAAAAGTTGTCGATGAGTAGGATTGTACAGCTGAAGAGAAGAGTGAATTCGCTGCGGAAAGTCCCTCTTCGCCGGACTACATGTATTTTGCTTTCAATAAAGCTTGTCTAAGAAAGAAAGAAAGTGATATCACATAAACTCTCTCTCTCTCTCTCATTATTAATAAAGGATCCCCCTGTTTGGTTGTATGAAATCCTCTAGTGTTATCTATAATCTGTTAGGTTGTATATGTATGCTAACACTGATGGGTGGAGGGGGAGGGGGAATAAACGTATAATTTCATATGATTAGGTTTTTTTGATATTGGTTCACCTTATGACTAATTTTCATTTGTATTTCTTTACAATCATGTTATTTAATAAGTCAACTATGCTTTTCTTTTTCTCTTCTTTACCCCCTCCTCCCCGGTCTAATTTCTTAGGTTTTTCTAACTAATGTCCGTTTAAAGTTTATCGGCTTTCATGTAGCCAATGATACTGTTTCATTGGCTGGTCTACCTGAACCAATTCATGAAGCTGTACGTGTTATGCGTGAGCATATTTACGTGTCATTAGGAGAAGTACAAATAGAAAAAGAAAATGAAATAGCTCAAAATCCTTTGTCTAAGGTAAGTTATTCCTGTTATAAAAAAGTTTTATGATACTACTGCTAATAATAATGATTATTTCAATATCTCATCATGAATTGATACGCACCCACCGCTAGGGTTCGATTGCAGGACGTTTTAGGTACAAGGTGATCTCGAAGACCATTAAGCCGCTGCGACCCGGCCCAGTGGTCCATGAATTCCAACTTCTGCCAATTCATGATATGACGCGACCATTAGTAAACATGATCGCTGGCGAGTATTTGTCACCACACCTGCTGTACCTAGAAGACTGGGTCCGAACCTCTGTGGGTGCTTGCTGTTGAAGAGTTCCAGACTAGGACGAAATAGCTGTCCGGTACTCACAGTTCATGATGAAATCCTGAAACCATTCAAATCCCTGCAGACCAACACTCGAATTATAACAAACATTACTATTATTACCTTGTGTTTCGTGTGAGTGGGACAGAGGGCTTCAGCAGCACATCTCTATTTTATCCCTATTCTATGCAGTCGTTTTTTATTTGGCCCCACGATTACTCATAGACTCTCATCTTCTCCTCACACGAAATCACCTCCACATCACCCTTGGATCAAAGCCTAACTGATCGTTTTCCATTAAGCTTTCACTTGAGCGATAGCCTGGCATGCGATGTCATTCAATAGTCTTCTCAGCCTGTGTCAGATCCATCTCCGTTTTCTTCGGCTTATTTGTTGGCGATAGGTCATTGGCCGCTTAGGTCACAGAGCTCTTTGTCACTTATCCTTTCTGGCCTACCATCGGATCTTCAGTATGAAGTTTTTGATGAAAGTTTACAGTAACACCTTTTGGAAATGCTTCTGGTGATGCATGTGCCAAGTGTCTGATTCATATGGAAGAACTGACTTGACAGTGGTGTTGAAAATCCGAATTTTTTTCTTCATACTGAGTGCAGAAGATTCCTAAGGTGATTTCAGAGTGATGAAGGTGTGGATTGCCTATCCGGTCTAGGTTTCAACATCGTCATCCGTGCTGTCGTGTGTAGTTGAAACTATGCTGCTTAGATGAGTGAAGGAAGTCACGTCATTCAAATCTATTCCGTTAATGTCAATTGATGCTTGTTGTTGTTGCCATTGTTGGTTGATAATCTTCATCACCTCCATCTTCTTCTCTATAATTGACCTGAAGTTCTTACTTCACTGCTCTGCCTTCATCTTCTGCCAATTTGTTGGTTTTCGCTTGTAGATCTTCGAGTTTAAAGGTGACATTTTACATAAATCATCTGTGAAGTTCAGATCTTTTAGAGTCCCGACTGATAGCCGCTACCTTGACGTGGTGGTCGGGCTTGCACATCGCGATGACCCAACAAGCTACACTGGCTGGAACATATGTTCCTGCAGGTCCTACCATGCCAGGAAGGTTGTTAGGACAGGGATTAGACTAAAAGCAGTTACCGGCATTGTGTAAAAATCTTTCTTACACTTTGCCGGGGGTCTGAGGGCGAAGTCGTACTGCTGGGGTGTAACAGCAGTGAGGTGTTTCCCTTAGATGACCAGCATGCCAGCTATGCTGTCTCTCCACTCTGGAGAGAGGAGGTTACAAAAGGTCGACCCCGACAATGGTACATCTCGACTTGCCTTACGGTGGTCCGTAACCGGCGGTAAGTTTACTAATACGAAACCGATCCCAGAAACCAATTAGTACAGGCCGTGTGTGACCGGCCTCAAGCAGTTGACCCCTGGGCTCTGCGGTCACGCAACACTTTCTGTTTCAGGTACCCGAAGAATCAATCAACTTCCACGGTGTGACGGGGGCACCCGGGAAGTAACAACCGCCCACACATTTCCGAAAGCACACGAAGCCTTCCTGAGCATCATTCTCCTTCTAGAGTAGTGTTTCCTTACTGGCCTAGCGTATCCCTCTGTTCTCGCTCCCCACACTCTCCTGGAGAGAAATATTTCTTGGCCTCTTTTAAGTAAACACTATACGTATATTTTAAGCTATAATGAAGCTATTCTTCAGTGCTCATTAGTTCTACAGGAGAAGGTTAATCGCAACCCCGGATACCTTAGTGGTAACATCTCTGACATCAGTGCTGGATTTCATGGACTCGAATCTCAGAAGGGATGTGAACTCCTCCAAGACTACTGATGCGAGTCAACATCCTTGTAAACCTAGGTGTCTAAGACTTCCTGGCAATCACCTCTAACCATGTAACACATCAATTCAGAGTGCAGTGTGATAGTGAACCGTCTAGCATAATGAACACATTGTAAACTTGCCTAGTAGATAGAATGCAGTCTGCACCAACACTCCAAAGACTCTAGATGCCATGGCATTAGTTGCTCTATTTTGGTGACTAATCAAAGTATATTCATCATATTTCACACTTAAACTTAACATTCTGATTTTTAAAATATTCTTATTTCTCTTCTTCTTTATATTATTTATATCTAGTCAGGAGAGACATTACCCGATACACCAGTTGAAAGGCTATACCGTGCTATGTATCCTATGCTACCTCAGTATATGGTAAATAATTATTGCTTCGTGTTCATTTTTATTTATTTATTTATTTATTTATTCATTCATTCATTCATTTATTTATTTATTTATTTATTTATAAATAGATGATAATTCTTTTCCATGAATTATTCTTCATCAGGTTCCACATTTATATGACAGTAATAATTAGCCAAGTAGAATTGTGGTTATTAACAATCTTTAATGCTGATTATAATAAAGGTTTTCTTGTATTTCCCAGTGATTGAAAAACAAATCGATACTGTTGTTGTTTTTTTGCTGACGTTTCGCTATTTAATCCTGCTGCTAATAGCTTTATCAAAGTAGTAATACTAAATCAGAATTTATAAAATCCACTCAGCTTATATATAATAACAACTTAATCATCCATCGTTCTTCAGCATGGGGTCATTTTTGTGTTGTTAAATTGACCAATTGGTTGGTAAAGATAACAAAACCAGATGTAGATTGTTGGATAAGTGTGTAAAATTATAAAAGTAGCGTGTGTGTGTGTGTTCACATAGTGAAATTGCTTATCACATTTGTGTTGATTTTGTCATTTCATGGGGGGAGGGGAGAGGGCTTGTAACCAGATCAAATTCTGTTTTAGTCTATCATTCCTATTCATTGGATATAAAGTGCTTCTGGTGATATTAGACGTTTTTTGTGATTTCTGAAATGCTTTTTCTGGATTATTTCAATATTGTCAAAATCAATTTTGTGGCTTGATTCTATAGAACAGCGTGTAGACCTATGGCTGATTTTTCAAGCTTTTCTAGTTCAACTGAATTTCTTGGTGGTCGAACAGATGCTCTGTGGTGTTCATTTCTTCTGCTTTTGATTTCTCTTTGGTAATGTTTGTCCGATGTATATCGCATCACATTCCAAGCAAGCGTTTTATTTTATAGACACAATTAGATAGAGAATATTTAGGGATTTGGTCTTTTATATGGACAAGGTTGCTTCGCAGTGTGTCTTATGCAAGGGAAAGATAATATGCATCACGTATAACACTAAACTGAATGAATATCAGATAAATTAAGGGAACTAACACTCAGAATTTATGAATTTATAGTTTTGACAGTAGGCTAAGGTGTAGCAACAATGATCGGACTTGTTTCTTTTGCACACCGAGCTCCGGTCGATTTAAGCGAATCGCAATAACCTCTCCTGTTTGGAGTGTTCGGTATCTAGAGGCCTTTGGTAATTTATTTGATATGCGGTATATGATGGTGAAAAACTCTTCAATACTGGCGTTGTGGCCTGTTTGAACGAGGTGGTCCAGCATGAGAACTGTTGATGTTTTTAACAACATCTTTATTTTGCCACACTGTTAAGTAGGTGTTGTCGGGGATGAAAAGTTAGGTTCCTAGAGCAACAGTCTATATAAGTGCCTGCTTTACACGAGGAGTAGTTGAATTAACAAATATAATTAGAGGTGGCTAGCCTACGTACATCATCTGCCAGTTTCGCAATCACGATGGGTTATGTGTAGAATATAAACTGCAGCTATTCAGCATTAAACGTTCTTTTAATTGAATTACTCGAATTGTTCGTTATTATTTCACTTTTTTTCGCATATATATTTATGGGCTTCTTGTTAACAGATACAGAAGAGTTCTCCTCCACTTCAATTGTCCTAGTTTATGGTGTTTTATTTTATTTTATTTTTATTCCTTTACGTTCCCAGAGGAACAGAGGGCTTCAAGCCAGAGCTTTGATGTCCCGGTAGCATTGTTGTTTGTTTTTATGGGATGTGGCTGCTAGCATCATGCCCAACCTTCTCTCTTCACCAGTCTTATTACTGGCTTAGCGAGCCAGGTGAAGGAGTGCGTCGGTGGCTGGGTATCGAACCCCGAACCACCTACCTGGTTGGCGAGCATTCTACTGCTATACCACTGACGCACTAATTTATGGTTTAGTGTGGTATAATATTGTACAGTTAATTTTGGTTTGTGTCTTTATGACGAAGTTATACTGTGACACCAACACTAAATTGTGTATACATTTCATCCAACAGTACATAATATAATCATAATAATGCTTACTACTCAGGATTTGAATTCAAGACCGATTAGCTGAAAGTCGAGTGCTTAAACCAGCGAGTTACGTCTCCATACTTTGGTTTACTTGTTCATTTACCTGCTTGAAGAACAGTCTGTGTACTGATGCTCACTTTTGAATGGTAATAAAAAAAAAGTAGGCATAAAAATGCATAAAACTGTATACTACTGACTGTGATTGAGATGAGTAGTTGTATGTTACTCACAACAACCAGTAAGTGCTTTCTAGCTGAGTCAAACTAGGTACACGGCTGATTAGCTCGGTCTTAAACGAACGAAATCGCTGTCCGATGTTTCGACCAATTTGATATGGCTGGTCAGCAAACACTACTGGTTCCATAGAACAAAGCAAGTTGTAAGCTCTCTAGTGTATATATTCATGTTGTTCAGAATCAAACTGTCAATGTGGTGGAGCATTGAGTGAGCAACATATGGTTTGTTTATTCGGACTAATCTCCATTTGGTGGGAAAGAACAATGGCTCGCGGCCTTTGTCTGATCATACTCTGGTTGGTAGAAGACTAGAGAAAATCGATCAGAAGTATTATTCTCGTTTACATTAACGTCTTTATTCATAGACTTTTTTTTACCGTGTAACCCTGTTGTTCTGCTTCACTGTTTTGGTGAAGAAATAAACGATCCTCGAATTGCCAATCCATTTTCTGATATTCTCGCCCCGGTTACCACAACGATTAGTCGTCTTCTGCAATCAGCTCTTCGTATTCAGGATATTTTTCCATCTGGACATTTGACACAAGCTGTTACTATTATTATTATTATTACTATTGTTAATACTTTCGTTTTGTTGAATTAAAATCAATAAACTTATAATGTTGTCGTCTGTTGTATTCTTTTCTTCGCCACTCTGTATATAAACATATATACGGGTATAGATTGCTTTATTGAAGATTCTGTTAGCTGCTAGTCCTACATCTCGGACAAAAAATGAATCGATCGATATATTAGGTGAAATTACACCTGGAGAAACCCGGTAAGTCTATACAGTTTTTCTTTTTTTTAATTTCAAAATGATGGATACAACAAAGCCGCAAAGTTCACCTTCTTATGCGAATACCGACATAACAATAAGCAGGAGCTAATTTATCTTAAATGTGTAAGGTATGTATGCATTTATGTGACTCTTATTTCAAACATTCTGATCCTATACGATTACTTGTCATATACACTTTTATAAAATTAGAGATAAAAAGAGTGCAAAGCGCCAGAAATTGATCACAGTAGGTTAAACTATTTCCAGGTCACCATCACAGATTAGAGGTTGACAAATGAGATAAGAAAAATTCGGTACGAAAATGTTGATAGAAGTATAAAACTCCAGCTCTGCAGTGCAGTAAAAAAAACTAAACTATGAAATAAAACAGATAGAAGAGGCGTTGGTGTTAAATAACTATCCTATAAAATTCACACTACGAATATCAGAAAAGGTCAAGAGTGAAATAAAAATAATGGGGAAACTAATAATGATAACATAAATAAGAAAGAGTATAAGGCATCTACTGCTATACCACACAAGGAGGGCACATTTGAGACCCTCCCTACATAGGATTCTCAATAAAGCAGGAATTAGGGTGGTTGCATTCAAACCTACAAACTCACTCAAGTAGGACAAGCTGTGTGGGTTAAAGAAGCCTGTAAGTGGACCCAATTAGACAGAATAATATAATTTACAGAATACCTTCCAATGACTGTGAGTGAGATCAACTACATAGGGCGCACTAGTAGATCAGGAGTAGTGAGATTGTCGGAACATAAGGATTTAGCTAAAATAAGAATGTTTGATCACACGAAGATAAGTAATTTAGAAAAAAAAGCTCAGCAATTGCATTTCACTCATTAACACACAACCACACAATAGGATGGGTGGGACAGAGTCAAAATTCTAAGAAGTAATATACGTAGGTGGCGAGAGAGAGTGACTACAGAATCCTGGTTCATCGACTCTACACCCGACACATGCAATAGAAGTGACTCAACTCAAATGCCAGAGATATGGAAGATATTATTGCCACCAGTTAAATCAGAGGATAATAAATAGTGTTAAAACGTATTCAATTCAATTCACATTACAACATTCTAACAAGTTACCTATTTATTTTACTATGAAAGATCTTATTTCCTCTCTGATTGATTGAATGTACATTATCTTATATTGAGTTTGTTCAAATGTCTAATCATCAGTGTTTACTCACGTATATAAATGAAGCAAGAAAGTTGTGTGTAAGAGTAGCGCCTTGAGATGATTATGAGTGGTAATAATTTGTGCTCGAAACATGGTCATCCGTAAATATTACTGTATAACCCACTGTGTGTGAAAATGTTATCAAGTAAGCCAAATTCCTGAATTTACAATTTACACAATTCTAAGAGAGTGAAATTTTCCCACAGAGTTTGCTTTGGAACGCAAAGTTATTCAGATCACAGTGTACATGGTGTTGGTGTTCTGCTTGGTACCATTGAAATGATGGCAATCAAGAAACCAAGTACAAATGCGTAAAACTCTATGTACTTACTACTACTACATACTACTGACTGATTGAGATGAGTAGTGGTATACCCCTCACATCAGTTAGGAGTGCTTGGTGATCGGATTAACTGTTCATTGATATTGATATTCAACTTTTACAGATTAAATCTCCATTCTGTATATATCATAGCTTAATCACTAGTCTTTATATTTATTATCATTATTGTTCCCTTGGGTTCCGTTCGAGTAGAACATTGGGCCTCAACAGCCCTTTGTCCGGTCTTTCTGCATTCCTCTTCATCTGGCCCAACTATTGCCCTGTAAGCTTTCATTTCCTCCATCTCACTATCGGACACACGCTCAACTCGTCGTTTCCCCTTCAGATACACTCGAGGACCTGGTGCGCGATGTTATTCAATCGTCTCCTCAGCGTGTATCCCAACCGTCTCGATTTTCTTCAACATATTTTGCTGGGCAATAGGTTCTTGGTTGGTTCCGCTTCAGAATTTTTTCTTGCTAATTCTTTCCGATCGGTCATTTGATCTTTAGTATGAAGATAGCCAAGACAGCTGTTGATAAAAGTTTGTAGTAAGCAGCCTGTTGGAAATGCTTTCCGTGGCGCGATCGCGAATTTCTCTGAACAATGTGGAAAAACTGACTTGACATTGGTGTTAAAAATTCGAATTTCATTCTTTAGTGAGGAGTTTAGAAGACTTCCAAACTGATTTCAGAGTGGTGAAGGTCTACGTTGCCTTTCCACGGTTCCTATTTTGACATCTTCATCCGTACTATAGTCGTCTGTAGTTGAAAAGACGCTGCCTAGATTAGTGAAAGAAGTCACGTTTTCCATTGTGGATCACCTGATATGTGGCATTGTCATATAGCTAGCTGTTGAATGAGGTTGATAAAAGATTAGGGACACACCATAGTGTTGAAGTAGTTTCCTGATTACTTCTTGGTCAGCACTGTCGAAGGCGTTTTCAAATTCAATGAGATTGAATGGGAGGTTTGACTACCATTCTATGCCAAGACAGATGATCATCTACACAAAATTACCAAACAGGTGAGAGATGGATTTGACGTTATTAGAGGCTAAATGAACCCGTATTGTGCGGGGAAACATTTGAGACACAGAAAGAAGACAAAGGAACTCAGCACGAAGGGTAGGAGTAGCGTACAACATGGAGGATCTGTACAAACGACAATTTTAATGCATATTGAACAAAATTTCGCTGTATGTGTATATCACACTGCAAATAAGCATTCCATTATGGACGTCTTGTGTGTTCTGCCGATACACACCGGGATACGGAAGTAAAAACGAGGCATTTCTAATGCAATAGAAGCCACATATACTAGCGTAAAATTATGACAAAGAGCTTTTGAATGTTTAACTTTGATATTTGCTGTCTAGTTATGATGTTATAAAAAAAAACACTTAGTGTTCTATAGACTAAAAAGACTAGTTCATCGTTTAAAATGGTTTATTAAAGGGGATAGTAGGCTTTATCGGAAATCCAGTTGAACAGTTTATCATGTCTGGGATTTTATATTTCTTGTTTTGTCATATTTTCTCACTCTTTCTCTTGATTACTCCCTTCTTAGAATGAAAACTGCTCATGAAACAACTATATTTGCTGTTGATATTAATCGTCATCGTGAAATTATTGTTAAAGCTATATCTGGTTTATTGTTATTATTATTAAAACAATTCAAGCTGAATCATATTTATCAAGTGAGTTCAAGCCTTTTTGTGATTGTTTTTTGTTTTGTTTATTTGTAGATGTAGTGTTATTTTTTTTATTATGTGTACAACTTGAGCACTGTATAATAGTGGTGCTCCGAGTCTGAGGAGGGGGGGAGCGTAGAGATCTCTTGTGTGATTGCGCCACAGAATAAAGTTGTAGGCTGTTCTGGACTTTCAAGAGATCACTGGGATCACTGTCGTCAATTCCCCCGGGAACCAGCGCATAACCAACTGTTCAGTCAACAAGTGAATCATCAGATGGTGTTATGTGTTCTCCGGAGTGGGTTTGCTAACGTGCCACTTCAACCTTCTTTCTTCTACCGAGCCTACTATCTGTTAGTAAATGGAGCAGAGTTTAGGGGAGCGAGTAGGCTGAGAATTGAACCTAGACCACATTGATCGTTGGGGAACTTTCTTCTTCCACTGAGCCAATGATTATATTTATCATATATTATTTAATTACTTTGTGTTCCGAGTGGAATATAGGGGTTTGAAGTTTCAGCAACGCTGATGGTATCTTTTTTTACTGCTTCGGAGGGAGGGGGTGGCGAAGGAGTTGCTTTCCTTTTGCAATCAACTCCCCCCACCGGTTTATCTGGCCTAATTCCGGCTAAACGAGGTCCATTTGTGCGTCAGTCCTCAGACCATATGCATGGTCGGTGGACGTTCTACTCCTCAAACCACCGACTCACAAAGCGCTCCCACTCTGGGAGTCGAATCCCTGGTCTCTTGGATGAAAGCCGTTCAGAGTTTAAATCACCTCTGTTTAGTTGGCATACTACTACGCTACTAGTTGACATGATTTCATCCTAACTACTCATATCAAATAGTAATATGTATTTTGAAATGATGAGCTCGTTTTCAGTAAACACGTACATATTTGATTGATTTTTTGATTTTCCCGTCGATTGATTGGACCGAAGTGCTCGGTCTCAGGTTAACATATCGGCTTCTTGTGCAGATGCTTCGACTATGTCTGGGCATTTAGTCAATATTTAATTGGTAGATGGTGACTGGTGGTAGAATCCAGGATGCACATTTCGTCCTATTTGGGACTCGTGGTCCAAGTCGTCTAGTGGATAACGCTTTGGCGCTTGAAACTATGGACACTGGATTTGAGCCTTGGTAGGAACATCATCACTGAGAAATGCAGGTACATCCAGATGACGAGTCCCAAATAGAACGAAATGAGCATCCTGGATTCCACTGCTAGTCACCATCCACCAATTAGACGTACATATTTGATTTATTATATTGAACTGAGATGCTCGGTCTTTATTATCATGCTGGCTCGTGGTAAATTAGGTTTGATTATACCTTGAGACACAAACATTGTGTTACTTGGTATGGTGGTGGCGATGGTGGTGTTCCCAGTGGAGACTCAGGTATATTCGGCTGTTGAGCTCCGATTAGAACGAAACGCACGTTTGAGATTTCACTGTTAGCCGACACCAAATTGGTATGGTAACAACATTAATGCATAGTTGACCATCGAGATGTTGCTGTGCAAAGAAGCATTCTTACCGGCATCGAACATTTGCCCTATTTCCGGACCTGAAGGCATCATTTGAGTCTGTCGACTGAAAAGCGCTTTGTCATTGTTCAACCGTAAAGACAATGCCTAGAAAGTTTATCACCACTAATCAAGGTATTTTACTCAAACTCACACAGTTGTGTAAGAGCTTATGAAGAGTTGTCATCAACTGAAGTGATGACAACAAGTGGTGTCACACTGTCTCCATTTTTGTTGAATTATTTTTTCATAGATGTACTGGTGGTGATGTGCTTGCTGTTGTAGCCCTTTTTTCCACTCGAAACCCAAAGGAGGAATATTAACAATAGAAACCTTCAATAAAACGTCAGAGCAAATTGCTCTAGCTCTGTAGACCAAACACTATCAGATTGCGTTTGTATTTCAAAGGTATGAGGCTCAAAAATGACTATTTTTTAAAATAATTTTCTGCATTTTGTTATTTTTCCCCTATTCAGTTTGAATATGTATCACAATATTTAGTTTTTGCCAATTGTATCCCGCTAATTTTGAAATTTTTCAATCAAAATACTTGTCTTTATGTACAAGCAAAAAATACGTGAGTCACGCTTTCCATTTACTTATTTATTTGAATTAACTTCACATTTTATTCTATTTGTTGAAGTGATTCACTAGTTAAACAGTTTCTGTTGAAGGAAAAATGAAACAAAGTGTACCACCATTGCTCCCATAAATTGACCTGATACATCTGAGAGTGAGTATACTTCGGTCCTCCACTCGAAATGTTCTCTCTCCTTCTCATGCAGTCATGGGTTCATGACCTTTATTAAAAAAAAGTCGTATTGACTGCTTTCCTGCGCCAAGAGGTGTTCCTCGCAAAAGTGAAGTGGTGAGTTAGGACATCTGACACTTGCAGTTGGAAACTGGTGAACATGGTGGTGTACTTGGGGGAGGGGGAGGGGGGAACTGGTAAAACCTGAACCCTAGGCATATGGTGTACATGGGCTCCAGAATCCGATTGAATTGAATGATATATGAACTTGTTTTTGGTAACCGGCGATTATGGTCACGCTTCTGCTCCACTGCCTTGCGCATTGAAATTCAATTCAAAGGTTCAAGAGGCTTGTTGGTTCCTTAAAATAACCCGCCTACTTCAGTTTGGGCGTTCGGGCAGTATCCTGGCCGTCTCACAAACTATGAGGTTTTGTGTAACGCATCTCTTGACTGACTGACTAACTGGTTTCAACGTAGAACTTTGCACAGATGTGCAGCAGTTCGAATTCCCACTCTCTCTGTCCATGTAGCACATAAAGCAAGAGAAAAGAGTGAATAGAGATTCCAAAGAGAGAGATAATAAACAGAAGTGTGAGTGAGGAAAAAAGAATAGTAATATAGAAGAACAATAGAGTTTTATTGAATATAACAAATGACGAAGATCGAATGCTTCTGAGGCATTGAGAACAATTTTGAGCCATATCATCTATTGGTTCCAGCTGTTGGTTCTTTCGTAGAATTCTTAGGACTCCAACGGGACAGTCCCTACGTGGTTCAAACTAACCGTCGAAGATTTAATGAAGTGAAGTCATGCTTTGGTTTGAACACAGCTAACTTGACTCAATGTCAGCTAACATTGACCGTCGGGGAAGGCAATGGCTCGGTATATGCAACACATGCGCATCTTTTGTTGGGTATAATTTACCAAGTCGGTGTTTTAATCATAATAATGATTATTATTTTGATAATTAACGGCGGTAAGAGGAAAATTTATCTTACGGTAGGATTGAAATCAGTCATCTCCCAGTTACTAGCCCAGCTGAGCGACGAAAATTAACTTCTAGGCATTAACCATTCTGGCTGTCTTGTGAATGAGTTTCACGTCACTGTGTGTGTGTGTGTGTTTAGTGTCACCACATTAACTTCTCAACTAGGTCTTCTGACAATTTTGTTTCTGAGATTATCTGACAAACTTCTGCTAGCAGAATTCTGTGGAAGTAGTTTGTTATTGTCATTGAAAGTGAAATGAGTGGCAGTGACTCGGGATGTGTGACACATGTGCTATCCATCTCAATTAATGTAATTTCACAACCTCATCATACATTGATTTCCCCTCCTCACCTAACACTCGATTGAAGCCTAACCTCAACTATTACTCAGCCTATTATTCCATCTAACATAGGAGATGGAAAGCAAGCAGACAGGTATGATCAAAGACAGCTAGCCTTATCATCATGTTTTCATCTTTCAGTGCCTGTGTGACACAGCCACTGAAAGATGGATGGAGCGAACTGCTACTTAGTACACAGGTCCTTTGATCAAAAGCCGGATATCAACATGTACACCAGAGATGATGTAGGCTGGTATATGCCAGCCAAACAAGCCTTCTGTATCCATGCTGACATTTCGCCAGCCACCAACCCGCTGGCGTTGGCTAACGCAACTTCCCAGATAAGTGAAATGGCCAACGCGCTCCACCAACCACTTCACTCCTGCCTATCTGTAAGCTAGGAGTGAGTCGATATAGTCCAGTGAGTCCTGTAGCATCATCTCACATTTGGCAGGAGCGAATCGCAAACCGAACACCCGAAGATCGCTGTTCAAAGCGTTCAGAAGACTCTGCTGTATTTCGTCAGCGTCTTCACCTATGACGGGGGACTATATCATCTGCATATTCTAAGTGAACCAGATTATTCCGTGATGGTAACAAGTCAATCCCTAAGCTACTGAATTCACTGTGAAGAAAATATATCCTAGTCACCTTAATTAGTGAAGACACGAAGTCCTCTTGATCGAAATACTTATTCTTCTGATGCATAACTAACATTCATTGTCTAATTTCAACACTACTCACTTCGTGATTCCGAAAATATGTACAATTTTGGATTGATAAAACAAAGTAGAAATTCATTCAATAAAAGATTCAACTTATTATTATTCCCTTGGATTCAGAGTGGAGTATAGGGTTTCGCAAACATATCTCCACTTTTTTCTCTATTGTCTGCCGGCCTCTTCAGCTTGATGCACGATTCCCCATAATCTCTCATCTCCTCCTTGCCACACGATCTCTTCTATGTCACCCTCAAACTGACGACACACTCGCCATTTGCCATTCAAATTCTACTTGAGTGATGGACTGCAGCTCATGCGGTATCATTCGACGGCCTCCTCAATGTATGCCCGATCCATCTCCATTTTTTCCTATATATTTGTTTAGCGATCGGCTCTGGGTTGGTTTGTTGCCAGACAGAGTTTCTTGTTACTGATTCTTTCTGGCCATTTGACCTTAAGCATAGAGCGAAGGCAGCTATTGTTACATATACATTTATTACATACGCTTTTATCATTCCTTTGCATTTGGAACTGGACGTAGGACCCGAAGCTTGACTTCAGAAGTTGCAGTAGCAGTAGTGTTGTTACTTTCTGTACGCGGTGGGATCTGGTCGCTAGTCTCTCAATCTCCCAACCTTTCTATTTTACACTAGAGCTTACTACTACTAGCTAAATAAAATTGATGAATGCGTCGTTGAACTCCAGTTGCTCATGTCTGATATATTTGAGTATTTCTACCATTGCACCTTTTATACATGTGGTCATTTTTAATTTAAAGGATAAACTACTTTTTTTGTTGGTTTTATTTTTCCCTTCATTTTACGTTTGTTTAAAAAATTCTTTTTTTTAGCTTTTCATGTCTGGAATTTCCATCTCGTCTAATTGGTAAACCACCCGAGTTAACAGCTGAAATGCTTGTGAGTGTTTTTGTGTTAAATGTTTGGATAGATAGTACATTGAGATGGTATTCAGTCTATGTTTCTCTCTCTCCTAGTTTGGTTGAATTAATAATGAAAAAGAGAAGACGTTCAGCGAAGAGACTCTTTTCGGCGAATTCATTCACATAGCTGTACAATCGCATTTATATATAATTATTTGTGTGTGTGTGTGAACATGAGGTTTGTCAAAATTAGATAATTGATCAGGTAATAAAAGAATGATGTAATATAGAAACAAGGTTAATTGGACAGCAACTAAAGTAAGATTGAGTTAGTAAGTTAGATGACGTAATATAACTGACTAAAATGTTTCAACTTAGGTCAGGGTAGCAACAGAGGTAAATACAGGTAGGGACTAAGTAGAGATGGGGTAGATAATAATTCCATTTAAATTAGAACTGAAATTGATCAATTAATTTGGATGACGTAACATAATTGAGTAGAAATTGAGCGTTGGTCAAGTCAGTAACAGCGGTAGTGAGGTGTAGAAATTAAATCGGGTGGGGGTAGAGAACAATAAAGTTGAGAATGCAAAATATTACAATTGAGAAGACAAAACGATACTAATGAAGAGACAGAAAGAAAAGGATTAGGTAGAATTTACTTGTCGCGTAATCAGATAGATTACGTCCATTGCAAGTGTAGTGATTGAACGAACTTCTTCTGTATGCAGAGTTCAGGGTTTAGCAAGTGAATCGCCATTGCTTCTGCAGTTTGAATAAGTCTGATTCGTACACCTTTAGGAAGACTACTTCTTACTCTGTAGACTACTTTGAAGTTTGTTTGGGATGCAGATTCTATCAGATGTTCTAAGATGGAGCTGCGGGGACATCGTTTTTCGCCTTTGTAAAACCATGTTGGTAAGTGTTCGGTGATAGGCTTGGAAAGTGAACGCTGGGTACGGCCGACATACCTGGCTCCACACGAGCAGGTAAATTGAATTAATAATGGTCTACGAGCTCACCTTGTAACCAGAAGGTCCTGAGTTTGAACCCTGGCGGTGGGTGCACATTGATGAAGAATTCTAAATTAGGCTGACGAAACAGCTATCCAGTACTCCCTGCAGGTTCTCCAATGGTTCTCTAACCGATGATGTCGGCTCATGATTGTATTCTGTTACCAATTTTTCACAAATTTAATGACGTTTAAAGACTAACACATAAAGCTACATAGTTATACATGTGATTGTACAGATAGGGAATGATTTTGCTGAGAGATAAGAGTAACACTTCACTGGACATCTTTTCTATGAATACTAAAATTAACACATCTCCGATCGTGAAAGGTAGATTGTCTACAGGTTGATTGACAATAAAAACCCAACTGAATGTGTTAAATGCAGTATGTGTAGTAGTAGTACTTAGTGTAAGGAAGAAAATAGAGCATTAGAGGAGCAACACTGGGGCGTGTGGGGGTGGGTTAGAGACAATACTAACGTACTATTATTATTACAATACACTTATTCGCCTTTATGCATTGGAATAAAGCAAGAATAAGAGTTTGTATAGAATACCAGGATGCTATTATTTATTTTGTCAGTTTTTCATCATCCGCTTATAGCCTATTAGATTATATACAGAACAATTTTAGCATATTTACAGATGTGGCATAATATTTTAGTTGATATGACAGGAGACTTGATAAATAGTCCTTAGAAATTACGCTCATATAGCTAATCTACAGAAAGTTGAAAAATAAATGCTTTTATTTGGTAACAAAGACAAACGGTGGATAGGATGATGCGTTGTTAATAAACAACATATTTGAAGATATAAAATTCACAAGAGAAGAAGAAATAGACAAAAAAAATCCCATTTTTAGATGTCTTAATCAGGAGAACTAACACAGGAAATTTAGAAACATAAGTATATAGAAAATCAACGCCGACACACAGATCAAATACTCAACTATAATAGCAATAACCCAATTACTCACTCACAAAAGAAACTGTGTACAAACATTGTTTAAAAGAATTCAAGCACACTGTTGCAGCACTCCAGCATTGAAAAGAATGGAAGAAAAATACCTACAAACGGTCTTCAGAAAGAATGGTTATCTACAAAATTTCATTAAAAAGTGTTTAAAATAGAATCACAACACCAACGAGGAACCATCATCAAAGACCACAAGAAAATTCATCCTACCATACATGAGAAATATCTCTGAAATAACAGCTAGAATATTGAAACCATTTGATATAGATATAGCACAAAAGCCAGTCAAATCACTTAATTTGATATTGTGCAAACCGAAAGATCCAACAGAAAAAGGAGATAAAATTAATACCATTTACATAATAAATTGTATGAGCTTTTAACAAACATTACATTGGCCAAAGTGGGCGTCCCCTTCAAATCAGAATCCAGGATCACAAATCATCTGTAAAAAGACATGATATATATTCCTGTTTCATATCCAATGCATATAGACAATTATGGACATCAATTTAATTGGGATAATTGATATGTATCCACATATATATATTTATGTGTGTGTGTGTATGTTGGTCTCTCTTTCTATTTGCTCGCTTAGTCTGTGACCATTTCACTTGCATGAACTTGTCTCCTTTATCAATGTATATTCCATTTATACTATATATAATATGAGTGTTGTTGACAGTCCGTTGCTTAGTGACATATATCCATATATGGTTGTTCACATGTCTGCTATATTCGCTATGTATATTTGGATCGACACTCCATTATAATTAGCCATTCATGTTAAGACTGTCTAATGATTTTCCCACGCTTTGTCTGGAACATTTATATATATTCGCATTCACAATTTGTGTGAACTACTTTACTTACTTACCACTTTGGTGTGAGACCATTTATTTTCGTCTCCTTGTGTTTGGAATAGAAGTATCATCGCAAACCTAGTGGTCTTCTGATTTCCGCCTTCTCGCGTCAGGACTATTAGTTTCTCGACCAGGCCATAACAATAATTTAGCGACGAGTACATAACAATAATGTCAAAATTTGAGACAGAGGAAACACCAAAAGTGCAATCAGTGAATTCCTAGAAGCCTGGTATTCAAACGAATATGCAATTAACAAATATGTTAATATAGACCAAATATACCAACTAATAAAAAGTAAATCATGTGACGAAAATGTTTAAAATCCGAGTCAATAAAGAAAAAAGATCAATATATCTGTAAAGATGGTTACTGGGAGACGCAAGTCTATCATCGCCTTGTAACCAGAATGTCCTGGGTTCGAATCCCCTGTGGTGGGTGCGTACTGTGAAGAGTCCCAAACTAAGACGAAACAGCTGTCCACTACTTCCAGGTTTCCCAGTGGTTCTCTAACTGATGTCAGCTCATGATGAAATCCTCCATCCAATCAAACTAAATCCCTACAAAACCAGTACTTGGAAATTTAACTCAGTTCACTTTACGCTAAAAATTGTGCTGAAGATGTTGTCCAGAAGGACGACGAATGCTCCGCAACTAAACCAACTAGCTCAGAGAACACTACTAATTGCAAATGGTAAGTTCAACTCAAAACGAGCGAATTTGAATTATAGCAAAGGGGGGTTAAAAACCAGAGATTACGTAATCATAATTAAGAGAGAATAAAGACATCCACTTAATGGGGGCAAGGAAGGACTGATAAGTGGTTTTAGGCGTTGGATAGCGATCGTTTCGACACAAACCTTAGGAGAATGAAATTATTTCATCTAGTGATAATTTTGAAGGATTTCGTGATTTCCATCTAATGACACACCAGTATTAATGACGTGTCTGTCAATGGCTCTGTTGAAAACATCTTTTCCCCCTTAAAGCGTAGACTTCATTCTGTTCTCCCAATATAACTGGTGCCACAGATATATGCAAGTTTGTATACACAGTTAGAGTTAACATGATTGCACCAAAGAAAAGCATTATTGTTGGATAAACGGGAACTAACCTAGCTAGGGGGGATACATTCTGGCTAGTGAAGTATTCAATCTTCTTCAATTCAAGTATTCTATCTTCGAATCCCGGTGGGTGTGTACTGCGGAAGAGTCCCAAACTAGGACGAAGCAGCTGTCCAGTACTCCCAGGTTTTCCAATGGTTCTCTAACTAATATTAGCTCATGATGAAAATCCTGTAACCAATCGAACAAATCCCTACGAACCAATACTAGAATATTCAATCTTCTGTTGACTATTCCTGCAATCCTGTCACCTTTTAAATCGATTGATGTGTGTATGTCTTCAATACTATTGTTCTAATTCGTAATTATAATTTGTTTTTGCTCTTGTTTTTTTTATTAGGCGGGTGATTGGAGTTCTTATTGTTGGCGTAATCTATTCTCTTGTATTAATCTCTTAAGAATATTAAATATGCTAACTAAATGGAAGCATTCAAGAATTATGGTATGTTGAAAATCATAGTCACGATTGATCATATATTTGTGTAAATATTTCTCTGGAAATATTGAATGCTTGACAAATGATAAGACCCTTTCTCTCTTCTATATCTAACTGAACAGGCTAGTCTCTATGTGTATACGGGCCTTGTAAAAAGATCTTTTCGATGATCCATTTCATCTCGATATGTGATTAAGTTCAAACACATTCAACTGATTGAATACTACAGAGGGGGGCTGGAAACCACGTCTTGAATTCCACTGATCAGTTACTGTTTTACGAAGTGATTTCATTGATTTTGCAAAACAAGTTAGGGGGGAGAATATGTTATTTAATAATAAAACTTTTCTGATGAATAGCAAGAAATAACGCAAAACTTACATCCATTGCTACTTGTCAATTACTTACCTGTAATAGTTGGTGTACGAATTTATATTATTATTATTATTATCCTCTTGGGAACATAAGGCTTCAACAACTCATCACCGTTCCTCTCTGTTCTCCGCAGTCCTTTATCGCTGGTCATACAATTGCCCATAACCTTTCATCTCCTCCTCACACTGTCTGTTCCTTGTCACACTCGGACGCCTAACTAACTACTTTCCACTCGATGGTCTGGGGTGTGACATCACTCAACAGTCTCCCCTCGGTGTCTGTCCGATCTATCTCCGTTTCCTTCGGATTTTTTGTTGAGTAATTGGTTCGTGCTTGGTTTTTTCCAAGATTTTCTTATTGATAATTCTTTCTGGCTGGCCATTTGATCTTCGGTAATGAGCCAGTGAGCGCAGTCGTTCGTGGTGTCACCTACAGTTGAAATGATGCTGCCTGGTCAGATAGGTATATGAAATGATCTCTTTCAAATGTCTTCCTTTGGTACCGATTGGTGCTGGTTGTTGCTGTTGATGAGTGGTTATCTTCATCATCTCAGTTTTCGCCTATGTTCACCTAAAATCCTGTCTTTGCTTTTTATCTCTTCTGCCAATTTGTTAGTTTTCGCCTGTTATATTATTCGAATGTTATTATGTCATATTTGGCATAAATTGTCCACGAAGTTTATATCTTCTAGAGTCTTTCTATCGGTCCAGCAAATTCATTAACCCTGCAGTTACAGATGATTACTTCCACATGTTAATTACCAGAGTTTACTAAAATAAAATGCGATTTATTTTTTTTTTATTTTGCAATACTACGAAGCTATTTCCTGTTATCTGGTATTTGAACCAGATTTGGTCTAAATGGAATTCGATGTATTGACATTTTCAAAAGAATGGATACCGAACAAAGAGTATTCTTTTGGATAACTTCATCATCAGGCTCTACAAGTTATTTATACATAACTAGTGAATGAAAGAACAACATTAATGTTGTTTTAAAAAAAACATTGAATCGATAATATTGATAGATTACAGCTCAATAATATCAACATAAAATGTCAGAAAAATTCATGAATTTATATTCTCTACTGAAGGCCAGAGCAGTAGTAGGAGCTGGACTTGCTTCTTTTGAACACAGAGGACTGGTTGTTTGAGGTGAATTGCAATAGCCTCTGTTGTTTGGAGCATGTGATGCTTCGATGATGATTTTATCAATTTATTAGGCACCCGGTAGATGATGATTGAGAAGAATTCTTCCACGCTGGCTGGCTTTGTGGCCGGTTTGCACCAGATGGTCTGATATCGAACCGTCGATGGTTTTCACTACACCTTTACTTAGCCATGCTGGGAGATGTTCTCGAATTAGCACGAAAAATCAAGTTCCTAGAGCACCGGCCAAGATAACTCGCTCAAGAAGCGCAGTTGAATTGGTAGATACAATTTGAAGCGGCTAGTCGAGGTACTTCATCTTTCAGTCGAGGAATCACCATCGATCGTGTACAGAATAGTACGTGTAGTTCGCCAGCATTAAAAGTTCTTTGAACTGATTTTCTTAATTTCCTCGTAATTATCTCACTTGGTATATCGCCCTTGAATTGTAGTCGTATATAAAGTGGCTTCATGTTTACAGATAGTGAGTAGCCCTCTTCTGCTTTCTTTGTCATATGTTTCTTGATAAATTTGTCGGGATAACTATTTTCGACCAAAGGATCATATACAATGCTTAATTCATCTTCATTCTAGTGAAAGTAGTAAATAATCCATGTAATTTTTGGTAGCACTAAAAGATATAAGATTACAACAAATGCACCAATAAAGGAAGTTTAGACTGATTTATTTTATGTTATAAATAGTCTTTTAGGTTATCCACAGACTATTTAGAATTTCATTAATGTAGAGTGGTTAAAAGTGTCAATAGCAATGGAAAAAGTTGGATTAAGATTTACGTTGACGTGTAGTGTAATGTGTTCCACTTCTTATAACAACAACACACATAAATAGTACATAGTTTGATATCATCCAGTATAGTAATCTCTGAAAGAATTTGAATACCAGAAAGTTGTTAAGTTGAGGAGGAAGTATCGAAGATTAAGCATAACATATGCTGTCACTCTTTGATAACAGTACTTATCGTTTCCCATCTGAGTTACACTAGAGTGATAGCCTGGTTCCAGATGTCACTCATCGATCTCCTCAGCGTATGTTTTGCTGCATATTTGTTAGATGATGGGTTATTTTTTAGTTGGTTCGTTATCCACCTCAGTTCGTTGTTGCTTATCCTTTACCGCTAGACTTATTTTCAGTATGAATGTCTGTAGCAGCCAGCCTGTTAGAAACAATTATCGTGACGTGCCAAATCTCTGAAGCATAGCGAACTGAATGTACGACAGCTTGTAGTAGTGTTCATCAGTGATCTCTGTAATCATCGACATACACATAAGAACTCAAAAGTATGGCTATGCTAGACGTTGATTGTTTTACATTCTGTTTTTTTCTTTATTCCGTTGTACACTTTGAGTAGAGAATAGGACTTCAAGCTTTAAAGTTTCAATAGCGGTTAGATTTAGTTTTCACGGTGTCTGGTTGCTAGCCTTAACGAACCAACCAACCAACCGTCTCCTTTTCGAGTTAACCAACAGCTAATTATATAAACTAGAGAAGCTGGCAACAGTAAAGAATAGACCCCACAGTCAAATAACCGTGAACTGACCAATCAGATCGATCGGCATTACAAATCGATGAAATTTACAGCGGAAATTATAAAAAGCATCGATTTGTTATGCTAAGCTATCTGATTGCCTGGTTGGAGGTTATTTGATTATGGTGTCTATTCTTTAATTGTAGCCGACAGGCTTTAGAATAGTGCATCAGTGGGGAATTGAATCGCAACCCCATTCACCTACTTGACATTATCTTATTTCTAGTATGCCATAGTCATATTCTTTTGTTTTTGCACACTTGCCTTTCTGTTTTATAACAGCTTTTAGTTGTCTTCAAATCAGCCCCGATATTAAAACGTACACTACGCGTTAGGCATGCAATGCTTCAGTTGTACGTATTGAAATTATTAAAATTACAAAGTCGATATTTTGGACGTCAATGGCGTAAAAATAATATGTCAATTATGTCAGCTATCTATCAAAAAGTTAGACATCGATTAACAGATGATTGGGCTTATGGAAACGGTAATTTTACACTTTCATTATTTTTATTTGAATTACTTTTTCCTGTTGTTGATATTTAAATATATTTTTCCATGATAAATGGATAGTGTATATATGACTTTGGGCAAAGGTTTCGTGTCCGTTTGACAGTTTGCAGCAAACCACATCTGCGATTCCTGAGCATTGAAATCATGTCGTCTAGATATCCTCAGTAAGAATTGTTGTGACGGATGTATTCATCAGACCATTTTTGATGAAATTTAACTTGGCCGATACTTATTATTTAGTGTTGGTTTGCAAGAGTTTGACTGGTTGCAGGTCTCATCAGTTAGAGAACCATTGAAAAACCTGAGAAGCTGTAACCAGTAAAGTTCACCAAGTCAGTCAGGTAAGAGATCAGTTACTTGTCAATGACATTGTCCCACGAGATTACCTGGTGACTGGAAGGTCCTGAAGGATTGCACCCCAGTGGGTACATACTGATAAAGAGTTTCAAGCTGGGGAGTCAAACAGCTGTCCAGTACTCTCAGGCTTTCCATTGGTTCTTTAAGATACTGATTGCACTGGTTGATAAAACGCGTCCTTTGATTCGTCCGAAATACAGTCAGGTGATGCATAATTGAAGATTTCGAAAAGGCATCGATGTTCAGTATAATCTTGCATTCATCCTAATTGAGTCAGACAACACGCTTACGACTGACTGTTCACTTGAATGATGTCATCTTATGCTGAGCTTTATGCTCCAGTGCTGAGTGTTATTCTTGCAACAGTACGTAGCAAGTTATGAAGGATTTTTTTCTTTCCTTATATGGGACACATGTTTTGAGTTGGACACATTTTTCATATAGTGTCTTTTGTCTAATTAGCTTGACATGCTCACTTGGAAAGCTGATGTAGAAGCGATAACAAGTGCATTATCACAGACCATCGTTGAATGCATTCAGAATGGGGATTTGAAACTCAATTTTGTTGCAAACGCAAGCCATTCATCTTGTGAGACTTTCATGCCATTAATTCACTGCAAGTTATATAATATGTTTAACAGTCGGTTTTTAGAATTGTTTCAGTAACATTCCATGTTAGACGATAGTTTTCCTAAACTTGTTCTTTTTATGATGTAATCAATGGACCGAACTCACCCATACACAGGGTTATTGCTATTTAGACGTAACGAAATCCTTCGTGGCGAACCACGAATAGTTGTTCAAAAGAAATGGGAAGTGGTGTGTTGTTTCTTCGGGTTTGCTGGTCTAGAAGCTTATCTGTAAATTGTGGCTGTTAGTCCGGCGATGAGGAGCTTTGAGCGAGGGGCAGTAACTCATAAACTGCGTCCAACAAACTCATACTCCTAAGGAACTGAGATGTACACATTCACGCAACACAGCAACCACTCATCTTGTCCCTTGAGAATTCAAAGTAGTCCGCAGTGTGATTCAACCAGCACAGAGAAAAAAGGTCTTTGAAGGCGAAATGGCTGAGGTTCAATGGTGATTTGACAAATTTGTTTGTTCTCCTATATGATGATATCTCATGTGAAACCAAAGAAAATCTTCAAGACTAACATTCAAAAATTTTCTTTTGTTCCACGAAAGTTTAAAATAAGTCGAATTTCCAAGTGGTGGCTTGTAGGGATTCGACTGACTTCAGGTTTCATCACGAGTTGGCAACAGTTAGAGAACAATTGGAAAACCTGAGAGTACTAGACAGCTAGTTCGTCCTAGTCTGTGACTCATCAGTAGTCCGCATCCACCAGAGCTTTATATATATATATATATATATATATATATATATAATGAAACCTGTAGCTGACTAAATCCCTGCAAACCAACCCTTGTAAAATAATTATTTATTTTCACTGTGTTAGAACTTTATTATAGACAGAAACGCTTACATCAAGCAAAAAGGGTTAGGGATTTCTGTGGTTTGTAATACGGAAGTCGATGACTGGTTCGAATTCTGTCACAACTCAAACCTTTCATTCAACGTTCAATCATCACCCGTTACACATCAACAACAGTCTGTCAGCACCCAAGGCTATGTGTCATATCGTCTCACCATTATTCAGTTCATGGTTGATTATTCGATTTTTTTTTTCGAGAGTAGTCATGAGAACTGACTTTCTCTAGTGAAGCGGTATCAAGATAACGCTGAGGCTGAATTCTAAAATTCGCAATTAACAAAAGTACCGATTCATTTATAATATGAGATTTATTTAGATTAGCAGAACTCATAACTTTGAGTAAAGTACTACATGAAAAGTTTTGAACTTTAGCATTCTCATCTTGACACATAAAATAACAAGTTATGTCTACATAGCTGAGATGCATTTAGTTTACAGTTTGAATCAGTCTGCGATCAAACAGGAAATAAATCGAATCCTTGTAAGCTAACTCTTGGAAGTTAATCTGATGCTCACTAGTGACTGACTAACTACAGAACGACGTCACCCGAAGATCTGTTAAGAAACAGTGATCACTTGTTTTGGAGGATAAATAGTCTTCGACGCTATTCACTGTTGGTTCCATCAAAGCCATGAATCGACAAAATTTAAAATTCTACTCTAAGAGTCTAAATAGTCCACGAACTGGCCTTGTTAGCGGAAGGTCCTGGATAAACCCAATTGGGTGCACGTACTGTCGATGAGACCCAAACTAGGAAAAAACAGCTGTCCAGTATAACCTGGTATTTTTCCAGTAATTCTCTAACTGTTGATATTGTATGACTGGGGGCAATTAGCAGGAAGCCTTGAACCTAGTTTTCGTGCTAGTTGGTGGCACTCACCAGTCAGCAAGGCATATCTACAATCTTGAAGGAACTCATGTCCCTTCTCAGTTTCGAAGCCGCGTCAATCAGTGCTGCAATCAGAGAAGTTATCACCAATGAATTATTCAGGCTCGCGATTGACCTCCTGTATTGCATATTCTGATTGAACACTAGTCAGTAACTTGTGTAATCTGTGTGTGTTTCTTGTCCTATCTTTGGTGCAGACTGAATTCTATCAGTCAAGTATGCAATGTGGCCACCATACCACTAGGTGACTTGCCATCACGGTATACTCTGAATTGTTAGTATTAGATATCATTGATATCGCTCTGTGATCAGACTTGACACATATATATAACACACACGTAAAATTATTCACCCTGTTCACATGTTGTCTTTCTTTCCTCATATACTACTACTACCACTACTACAACAGATGTTGATGCATTACCATGGCAATTTCAAGTAGAAGAATGTTCATTACGTACAAATGTTGATCAATTTATTCAACGTCGTTATTGTGATAATTGGTTTGATCCAGAATTTAAACCAGTTGATAATTGTCTAATGAGTGTATTAAGTCAACCAGTACAATTATCTGATGAATTTAAACAAAACTATGAAAAATGGCTTGAAGAAGAAGTTTTCTCTGTACCAATTAATTGGTCACAAGTATTGGCGCGTTGATCAGTTGTTGTTGTTGTTGTTGTTGTTTTTATTGTCATTCTCTCTGTTAAATGAATCAATAAATGAATGAACAATAAGGGGATAGCTAACTGTCTACCCTATCTTCCTATTTGTTCTTTATATATGTAATACTGAATAATAATAATAATAATAGCCTGTCTCGAAACCGGTCCTTATATATTGTATGTATGAAGCAGAATTATACCAAAGCATGCTGTAGCAAACATTGACTAATATAATATTATACAACATATAGTAATACAATGTTTTTAATATTTGCGTATTTATTGTCAATGTCTTTTGTTTTAAAATAAAAATTTCTTTAAACAAAGTTAATCTGGTGTGACTTTTATACTTTTTGTTAAAAAGAGGTGTATGGGTTAATAGTATGTATGTATTGTTGTGATACAGAGAGTATATAGCCAAAAAGGAGAGGAGTGGTATAATATATGATGATGAGAGTAATATGGACGTTAAGCTGTTGAATGTTTGTGTAATGAGATGGGTAAGGTGGCAGCAGCAGCTATATTGGTTGAGACATATTTTACACATATCAAGCCATCGCCCTATTAGTCGAACGATATGAAGTAGGTGACATGGAATTCGGTTGGAAAAGACAGTCATAGGGTAATCATGAAAAAAATACCCATTGAAACATTAGATTGAAAAGAACAAGAAGTTCAGCAAAGTTATCTTTTCGACGATTTCATTCTCAAAAGCTGTACAATCGCATTTATATAGATTATTTTACATGGATACAATTTTTATTTGTTTAATTCCACATAGTAACGAAGGCAATAATAATTTTCAACTTCAGATTTATTTGTTGAGGATAGAAGGCTTGGAGCCTATGTTAATCCTTTTCTAGTAGATTTCTGTGGTTGTCCAAACCCTTCTTCAACGTAATCAGTTGATGTTGCAGACAACACTTCTTCTGTGAGTCGGATCCGAGTTTTTATGACTCGGTGTGAGAACCAGAACTCAACAGCAATATGATTTCTCCTTGGCTTTTGAACTCTCCTTTTATGTCCCCTAAGGTGTTCCGACCTGGTGGGAAGGAAAAGAGAGAATAGGTCAGGTCCGTAGTCATTATTTCAAATTTTAAACATTGTGATTAAATCTCCTCTCTGTCTAAGGTATCTCAGGGAGAAGAGATTTAAACTGTCTAGTCTTTCCTCGTATGATAAGTTATTCATGCCGTGAACTATACGCGTTGCCTTCCTTTGAACCCTTTCTAGAATGTGTGAGTCACCTTTTAGACAAGGACTGGCGGCCTGGATGCAGTTTTCCATTCTTGACCTTACCAGAGATGTATATAAGGAGGTGAACATATCTCTGGTAATTCTAGTAAAGGTTCTGCGAATTGCCCATAAGGACCGGAAACTACGTGCAGCCACCGCGCGACAGTGTGCTGTAGTTTTTGAGTTGTGGCTAACTATGATACCTAAGTCCAAGTTAGTCTGAACTGATGAAAGTGTTATCCCCTTTAGTTCGTAGGAGCTTGCGCTTGCTTGTCCAATGCGCATGCATGGTTGCACATTTTGCCACACTGATCGGGAGCATCCATTCCATGTACCACTCTGACAATCTGTTGAGGTCATTTTGCAACGTGGACGTATCACTGTTGCCTTCAGCTGTCTCCAAAAAATAATACTGACGTTAAGCTGTTGAATGTTTGTGTAATGAGATGGGTAAGGCAGTCGATGAGGTTGTAAAGCAGCAGCTATATTGGTTGAGGTGATAGTTGGTATGAATATAATGTTACGCATGCCAAGCCATCGCTCTATTCGTCGAACAATATGAGGTAGGTAACATGGGATTCGATTGGAAATGACAGTCAGTCCAATAGGATTGCAAACTTTTCCTATTTTTTTTGTCTAATTTTACCACAGATGTACTAATGGATTTGACGCTATTGTAAAATGTTGCGATATAGGCAATGTGTTCCAACAAGATATTATTCTCACAGTTTAATACGGCATTTTTAAAAAATTATTTTACGTTCCCAGTGGAACATAAGGCTTTAAGCTAGAGCGAGCTTGAAGTTTCGAAAGCAGTGGCGTTTAGTTTTACGGGATGAGGTTGGTAGCCTTATGCCCAACCTTCCCTCTTTACCGGCACTATCACTGGCCAGGCGAGGTAAAGGAGTGCGTCTGTGGCCGAAGATCCAACCCCGGATCAAATGTGTGGTCCGTGAGCAATCTTACGCTGGGCCACCGATGCCCAATACGGCCTTAGCAACAGAATACTATGTATCTGTTTGAACAGTGTGTTTCATGTCGTTTAATGAAAACCAAAATCACGCGCTCAGTGATTGGTTAAAGAATACAAACGGTATATATATATATATATATATACCTTTGCTTCTGTGTCTTGCCTTCTGCTGTTACACTATAACTGACTTTTTTAGGGATTGATTTGTTACCAGAGTGAAGGCTTGTTGACCTACAGTATACGAATGATAATGTCCTCCTCCAAGGTGAAGTTGCTGATAAAATGCAGTCTGGATAATGGGATAAGTGTTTGTAGATTCCTTCCTGAACAGTCTAGTTACAATTTATTTATTTATTTATTTTATTCCAACAGTTTTGTAACAGCAAAAATAACCATTTCCTACTTTTTGATTAATGTTATTTGTAATCAAGTCTATTTTTCCCCAGCTAAATGTTCTGTTAAAACGATATATAATCGCTAAATATTAACTGGGTGAATTACTGTAGGGGATGTAGCTGAACTTCCAGTCTGTGTGCTCCCTCCCTCCCCCCCCCCGGATTCAGATTCCACTCCACCTACTTCACCTTAGATAACTGAATAATATCACACAATGTGTGCGTCAGTGGCACAGCTGTAGAGTGCTCGCCAACCACGCCTCACGTGGTCCGGAATTCGAACCCCGGTACGCACCAACACACTCCCTTACCTCACTAAGCCAGCTGAAGAAGGAAGGTTGGGTATAAGGCTAGCAACCTTACCCTGTAAAAACAAACACCATTGCTACCGAAACTTCTAGCCTCTAGCTTGAAGCCCTTTATTCCACTGGGGTCGTAAAGGAATGGAAAATTACACAAAGTGTGTGACTCGTAGCCTGAGACATCAGAATTCTCTACCCGGTAACTGATTTTTAACTGTGTGAATCACTAGAATGAAGTAAATCGAGCATTGAGGGGTAGATATTCGGACTTTATAGCCTTTCGTATTCTAGATAAAGTTATTGCTATATTATTGTCATTATTCATTCTTTGGCTAGCGGCGGTCAAACAAAAACTTGGCATCAGTCAATGAAATCCACAACAGTTGGTCTAACCCACGTAGGAAGGTGTAGACTTCCAGGCTGGGGTCCTCGGGACGGTAAAAATCTATGGTTGGAAACAATTGGTGACATGGCTCAAAATCGTTCTCAGTGGCTAGCGCAGATGCATCCACTCCTTGTGACTTATGATCTCCAATGAAACTGTTTTGTTATTCGTTATTGCTCCTTTGTCGCATACCTCTGCTCACTGTCTCTATTATGCTTGTCTTGTACTTTCTTCTCTTGCTTCGCGTGCTACACGGAGTGTGGCGACTTGAACTTCCGCACATTCGTGCAAATTTCTATGTCGAAAACAGACAGACAGTTACAATACTTATAATCATCTGAGTGTTTCTTTGTAATTATCACCCAATTTTTTTCTCCTAGACTGTATTTCATGGTTGTTCTGACAATTGCATATCACCATTTGTTGACTTAACCCCTATTTATAATATGTCTTTATTCCTAGTCAATCTCTCATTTGAATGCTTCTTTTTTTGTCGTTATGTGATGAAGTGACTTGATTGAGAGAGTGAATCATGGTTATGTTGACCTTGGAATAGTTGGTGCGTGTTTTAATTCCACCTTATTGCGTATATTCTACTCGATTCGTAGGTACTTCCTACACCTGATTTTTGGTTAACCAACTCTGTTCTACAGAACTTGTCCGGTACTTTGAAAGTAGGAACATCTCATATTTTAAAAATCTTTGTCCAATCATGAGTCATATAACAAGTATAATAAACAAAATTGTATGATTTGTGATCAAAATTTGACCTCAGACTCACAAATATTGATCTACCTTTGTTAAACACTTTAAACACAGTGTATGTGTGCGGATAAACAGTTGTAAAACATTTTCTTAGCGTCTCCATAAGTAGATATAGGCTGTAGCAGCAAATAATTCCCCAAAATTATTGACCACAGCAATCACTCACCATTGAATGCTGACCACCGCTGTTTACGTCGACTTGTCTAGCTGAAGACTTCCGGTCAAGCATCCCCGCCATTTGGTACCCCGTCGTGTCACGTGCACGATCACTAGCCAGCTAAGCGTTCGTCTGACGGCTTGTTTTGGTCCCAAAATATATCACGTAGTTTGGGCGATCAAATATTGGCTTTTGCTTTGTTGTTGGTACGCGAGAATAAATAAGTTAGAAGTTGCTGAACAAGAGATTCGGTCAACCTCTAAACTGGTGAGCCCAACTGCGAACTTCATCCAAGACAAATCCGCAGATAACCCCGGTGAGTTCGTTCCATTTTGCATTTGTTCTTGTACCATATATTATTCGATATAATTTTCGTCATGAGTGATCTTAGTCCCAAGGTCATTCGTATCCGCTCAACTCCTAAAACCATTCAGCTTGTACCATACTGGCCAGACAATGCTGAAACGTGGTTTCAGATAGCTGAAGCAGATTTTTGTGAGCATGGGATAACCGATCACCGTTCACAGTTACTTGCTATTATTCACGCGCTACCGCGGGAATTCAGCAAGTACGTAACATCACAGATGTTGAGTCCCGAGGTAAGTAACTCGTACGAGTTACTCAAAGCATCTCTCCTCAGGAGAAACGTTCTCACGGACCGATAACGTCTGGACGAATTATTTCGGAACATCGAGTTAGGAGATCAGTCAGCCGTGAGCATGCTGAAAAGAATGAGAGAGGTTATTGGCCAAAGTCAGTTCGATGAAGGACTTTTTAGTCAAGACTTCTTATCCAAGCTGCCACAGTCTGTACGGACCGTACTTGTGACACTTCAGGGTGTTGTAATAGATGACATAGCTATTTCTGCAGATAAGATTCTAGAAATAACTAAACGGTCAGTTCCCGAAATATGCTCGATGACTAAGCAGACTTCGAGTGAGGATATTGCAATGATAGAGTTATGCAACCCCATCCAACAGATGTTTAGGTCAAACATGCATTCTAACTCCTCCGACCGTCGTCCTAAACCTCCTCAACCCAGGAACTCACGTGGTCGATCTAAGTCCAAGAAGCGACGTGTTGCCGTAAGCCTTGTAACTTCGGAA